CCCCCCCCCCCCCCCCCCCCCCCCGTGCACGCAACCCAAGGGTTTCCGCCGGTAGTGGTGCATTCTGCAGAACCCTAGGATCTATCACCCGTTCCTCGATTCGCGCGCGAGATCCCGCAACGTCAGCCAATCGCGATCCCGCGTCTACTGTCGGAGCCACACCTTGCTCCTGCTCCGCCATGGACGTCAAAGCACCTTCTTTCTCGGACGTTTTCGCCGGCGCCGTGAACAATTTCATCTGCTCCTCAATTAACCGGCGAAGATCTGTAAGATTCTGGGTAAGCTCAGTCCTAACCTTACCGATGCCCTTCTCCATCTCTCCAATTCCCTTCTCCATCGAAACCCTAACCTCTTTAATCTCTTTTTCCACAGTTTCGAATCTCTCCTCTACCTTTCTTGCTACCATAATTCTCCCAAGATGATGCTCTGATACCAAATTGGTAAGTTTTGAGTAACTAATTCATGTAATTGAATCAAGAAGATGAAAGAATGAATCTTAATTGAATTATCCACAAGAACTACAGAAACGGTTTCTTGAAACCGAAGGACCTTTCCTGCTCAGCCAAAATGCCAAGACTTCCGATACAGACTCAATGATTGCGTGGAGTCCTCATCACTAACCAACATAATCCGGAGCTCTTTCTTCTTACATCGGTGACCAAAAAAAAATTTCTCATCACACCTATAACAAAGTCCCTTGTCTCTCTTCTCCTGCAACTCCGAGTCCAACAACTTTCGAAAAGGAAATTCCCGCTTTTGGCCTACTGCCCTAGCCACCATGGCTGGAGCTCACTGAGGTCATTCCACTCCAGGAATTGATCTAGCAGGAAAGGTAGAGAAATCAGCTCGTGGACCTCCCAAAAATGTGGCCTCGACACTCTTGACCCTGCAACCTCCCGACGTAGCAACTCATTTTTCTCCTCGATTCTCTGGGCGATCTCCATAATTTCGCTTAATCCCTCCGGTTTTAAGAGTCGTAACTCCGCCCGAACCTCCGCCTTTAATCCATTAACAAAAATGCCCTCCAAAATTTCCTCAGGAACTTCTAAGAGTGGGGCGGCAGAAACTTCAAATTGTCTGCCATAATCCGCCACAGTCCCCTCTTGTCGAATCGCCAAGAACTTCTCACAGAGGTTTCCAGCCTGCGATGAGCGGAAACGCTGCAAAAGAGACAACGTGAACTCCGTCCAACCGTGAAACGGACGGCGGCCATTCTGCCACTGGAACCACGACAGGGCGTCTCCTTCCAGAGCAATTCTAGCGGTAATCAGCTTCTCCCTCTCTGAACAACGATTGATGGAAAAAAATTGTTCCATTCGGAACACCCATCCATCGGGATCATCGCCACTGAATACAAGACACTCCACCTGCCGCCGGCGGTATGAGGTCCAATCCTCATTCTCCGGCAACTCACCCAAAACCCCCCTGTTTTCCCCACTCTCCCTATGTCGCCCTCCTCTGTAACCATTTCCACCCATGCCACATCTCTGATCACGGAATCCCGGGTTTTCAGGTTCACCGAAAACCCCCCGCCACTCTCCACGACGACCCAACGCACCTTCCCTTGGGCCCCCATTCATTCCCTCTTGTCGACCCTCTCGTTCCTCTTCCCCTCCGTTGCGACAGGAATTCCGCAAATTCCTGAGTTCCGCCGATCGTTCTCTCCCCCCCCCCCCCCCCCCCCTCCCCCCCCCCCCCCCCCCCCGTGCACGCAACCCAAGGGTTTCCGCCGGTAGTGGTGCGTTCTGCAGAACCCTAGGATCTATCACCCGTTCCTCGATTCGCGCGCGAGATCCCGCAACGTCAGCCAATCGCGATCCCGCGTCTACTGTCGGAGCCACACCTTGCTCCTGCTCCGCCATGGACGTCAAAGCACCTTCTTTCTCGGACGTTTTCGCCGGCGCCGTGAACAATTTCATCTGCTCCTCAATTAACCGGCGAAGATCTGTAAGATTCTGAGTAAGCTCAGTCCTAACCTTACCGATGCCCTTCTCCATCTCTCCAATTCCCTTCTCCATCGAAACCCTAACCTCTTTAATCTCTTTTTCCACAGTTTCGAATCTCTCCTCTACCTTTCTTGCTACCATAATTCTCCCAAGATGATGCTCTGATACCAAATTGGTAAGTTTTGAGTAACTAATTCATGTAATTGAATCAAGAAGATGAAAGAATGAATCTTAATTGAATTATCCACAAGAACTACAGAAACGGTTTCTTGAAACCGAAGGACCTTTCCTGCTCAGCCAAAATGCCAAGACTTCCGATACAGACTCAATGATTGCCTGGCTCCTTAGTCCGGTGTGTCCACCTATTTATTTCTGCCCCAACAATACTAAACAATAATCCCCTGTGCTCACACCCACAATAACCACGTAAGCATATACTAACACACACAATAACCACGTAAGCATATACTCACACACACAATAACCACGTAAGCCTATACACATACGACCCTATATACTAATAATCCCCTAATCACTTTCCCGACCCTTCCTCACATAAACTTGTCTAAGTAGAGGCTTATCAGAAAGCTAATCATTTAACTTTGTTTCAAAATGATCCTTAGTAAGCAATGAAGCTTCCTGGTTCAAGTATACCTATTACCTATTTAGAGTGCTAATTTTCAAGTGCCAAACCTTTCTGCTTCATGTAGAGCCCATTTGTTCTGAAAGAGAATGGAAGGACTGTCTCATTTTCAAAAAAAAAAGAAAAAAAAAAAAGAATGGAAGGATCGTCTCAACTGCTCTTTTTTTTTTTTTTTTTGTCACCTGATATTTCTGGTTGAGGGGAAATATGTCCTCGTTTTATTTTATTTTTATTCCCTTCTTTATGTCCTAATTCTGATAACATGGTGGCCATTATTGCAGTTGCCTGCAGGAGCCTTATTGAATAATGTGCTAGAAGCTCCAGGGCTAGCTGAGTGGTTTGCAGCAGCTACAGAAGTGGGGAATTCTGATGCATTACTTTTGGCTCTAAGAATTCGTGAAAAGACATCTGTTGAAAGTGCAGTGTTCAGCAAACTTCTGCTAAACCCGTTCTCTCCCAACAGACTTTTTGCTGCGGATCACCTATCCTCTCTTGCTACTTGTTTGAGGGTAATGCTACTTGCCTGAATTTTATTCCTTATAAGTGCAAGACTCAATGCTATGGAGAACAATTTAAGTAAAGAAAACTTCTCAAAATTAGTTTCTTATTCAAATGCCCAGGAATCTGCCTTCTGCCAGCCTCGAGTTCACAGTGTATGGCCTGTACTGGTAAATATGCTTTTGCCTGGTGTTCTTTTGCAAGCTGAGGATGTAGCTTCTGTTTCAAGTTTGTTGAAGAAGCACAAGAAAAACCGTAAGTCTAGCTCTTCGGAGGAAGATATTGCAAAGAACTTGCAATGCGTTATTGAAGTAATTGTTGAAGGATCTCTTCTTCTGTCATCTCATGACCGCAAGCACGTGGCATTTGATGTTTTGCTTCTTCTCTTGCCAAGACTGCATGCATCTTTTGTTCCAATTGTTTTGTCGAACAAACTTGTCCAGTGCCTGATGGATGTACTGTCTACAAAGGACTCATGGCTTTATAACGTTGCACAACATTTTCTTAAAGAGTTGTCCGATTGGGGCAAGCATGATGATGCGAGAAAGGTTAATGTTGTTGTTTCTCTACAAAAACACAGCGATGGAAAATTTGATTCTATCACAAGGACAAAAACAGTAAAGGATTTTATGGCGGATTTCAGAACAGAAGCTGGTTGCATGCTGTTCATTCAGAACTTGCAGGACATGTTTGTGGATGAAAATCATTCTACTGAGGAACCTTCTGATCAGAGCCAAACAACAGATGAAAATTCAGAGATGGGTTCAAATGAAGACAAAGACGCAGTTGGGACTACAGGAAATTCAGATGTTTTGAAAACTTGGATTGTTGAATCCTTGCCCAGTATATTGAAATATTTAAAGCTTGATCTTGAAGCAAAATTCCGAATTCAAACAGAGATTTTGAAGTTTCTGGCTATACAGGGCGTGTTCACTGCATCCTTTGGCACTGAAGTAACGTCATTCGAGTTACTAGAGAAATTTAGGTGGCCAAAAGCAGCCACTTCCAGTTCTCTTTGCATGATATGTATTGAGCAGCTTCAGCAGTTGTTGGCAACTGCTCAAAAGGGAGGGGGGTCATGTGAATTGGCAAATGGCCCAAATGGTCTTGGGTCATACTTTATGCGATTCCTTAGCACTTTACACAGCATTCCTTTGATTTCTCTCTTTCGATCTTTGGACGATGAGGAAGAAAATATATTTAAGAAACTGCAAGCAATAGAATCTTCACTTTCTAGAGAGGTACCTTTTTTTTAAAAAAAAAAAAAAAAAACCCTTTAACTTACCTGTTGGGTGGTGGTGATTTTGGGTTCTCACTAATTGAATCAACTTAGTCGACTCCTCTTGTATTGGAAATAGACATTTTATCCTTATTGGGTCACTTTTGTATCGCTGCATATTTTGTTGAGTGTATAATCTGACATAAGATGCATCTTCTAAAAATGCTTTACATGGCAGGAGAGGAATTCTGGACTGAGCAAAGACACAAATAGATTGCATGCATTACGACACTTGCTCATCCAGTTGCTTTTGCAAATGCTTCTTCGACCAAGGGAGTTCTCCGAAGCTGCCTCTGAGCTAATTATATGTTGTAGGAAAGCTTACCCTACGCCTGATCTTCTTGAATCCTCTGGAGAAGATGACACTGAGGCTGCTGCATCCGCAGAAATGGATGTTCTGGTGGATACATTACTCTCATTGTTGCCACAGTCATCAGCTCCTATGCGAACTGCTATTGAGCAGGTCAGAATTGATGAGCTAGACTTCTTGGCTTTTGAGTAGTGTTCTAATTTCACGTCATTTTATATCTTTATACTAATCAATCTCAACAAATGTGGCTCCTTTATCCAAGTGGTGGCATCTTATCCACAACTTTTTCTTATAATCTGATAACCACTTGTCTTTTCAGGTTTTCAAATACTTTTGCGGTGATATCACAGATGATGGTCTGCTACAAATGTTGAGGGTAATTAAGAGGTCTCTGAAACCTGCTAGGCATCAGGTTGCTGAGAGTGACAATGATGACGAAGAGGATGATTATGATGATGAAGATTTCCTCAATATTGAAGAAGATGAGGTGATTAACAAAGCTGAGACAGGTGAAACAGGTGAAAGTGAGGAGCAGACGGATGACTCTGAGGCTGTAGGTGGGGTTGACGATGTTGACAAAGAGGTTTCCGAAGCTTCAGATGATTCTGATGGAGGAATGGATGATGATGCAATGTTCTGGATGGACACTTACCTTGCCCAGATCTTTAAAGAGCGAAAGAATCAGGCTGGGAGTGAAACTGCTCAGTATCAGCTTGTGCTATTCAAACTTCGTGTACTTTCATTGCTGGAAATATACTTGCATGAAAATCCAGGCAAGCTCTGAATTCTAAAAATATTAGCTGATAGCCTAATATGAAGAAAATGGTATTGTAGTATATAGTTCAAGAGCTCCTAAAAGTACAACTAAAACTATGTGTATCTTTCCGTAAGGAGTGGGATTTTTTGTCACTTAAAAGATAGGTCACTGGTGGATCATACTTCACGCCGTATTTAGCTGAATTTTATCTCTTAACTTGGCTTGTTGGTGGAAAGATCCTGGGTGGTTATGACACTACTTGAATGATTGGTTGAGATATATTTTCTGATGCAGAAAAGGCTTAGTTTCTTAATTTGTTTTCTTATTTTCTCTTTTCTTATGTAACAGGTAAGCCACAGGTTCTCTTGTTGTATTCAAACTTGGCGCGAGAACTTGTTAACCCGAGCACTGCAGAAAGTAGCTTGGGCGGCGAATATGGGGAATTCTCCAAAAGAAGATATTCAAAGCAAGGGACTATCCTAAGGGTGAAGACGTGCAACTTTCCACTCTTGAATCTTTATTGCATAAGAATTTGAAGTTGGCATCAAAACCAGTCAAGAGAAAGAAACTTGCTGGCAAGAAGCAGCAAGCTTCCTGGAACCGACAGAAGATGATTGCTTCCCTTGCTGAGAACTCCACCTTTTGGATTCTGAAGATCATCGACGCAAGAAAGTTTCCCGAGTCTGAGCTGCAGGTGGTCTTTGATATCTTCCGGGGTGTTCTGGGAGAATATTTTGATAGTAAGAAGTCCCAAATCAAGTCTGAGTTTTTGAAAGAAATATTCCGAAGGAGGCCATGGATTGGCTAATTTTCTTAACTTCTATTATCTCAATCATTGATCTAGTTTTTGCTCTAGTCTTAACCATGGTAAACATATTAACTCCAAAAAAGCCCTCTCTAACAAGTGCATCATTAAAATTGGGGAGAAAGAGAGAAATAGACCAAGATTTAAGATGAATTAAAATTAATAGGCTAATAGTTTACATAAGTTAATAAATAGGTCAAATTAAAAAAATATTCAGATTTATCTATAAATAAATTCCAAAACTGTTCTTTTCACTCAAAAAACCCTAACACCTTTCTCTCTCAGTTCTCGCTCTCACCGACCTCTGATCTCTCTCTCTCTCTTCCCTCCGGTGCTCTCCGGCGAGTGTTTCTTCCCTCCGCTGCTCTCCCACGATCACTCTCTCTTCCCTCCGGCGCTCTCCGGCGAAATGTTTCTTCCCTCCGCCGCTTTCCGGCGAACTGTTTCTTCCCTCCGCCGCTCTCCTACGATCACTCTCTCTTCCCTCCGGCCCTATAACGCGATCTGTCTCTATTCCCTTTGAATCTCTATCTCTCCCATCCCTTTACCAATCCCAGAAACTTGTTCGCCACCGATTCTCTCTCTTAGGTCCGCCGGTGTCGTTAGACGAGAAATCGAAGAACATGGAAGGTAACATAAGAACAAGGTAAATCCGTTAATCACTAGCTGGAAAACCACGAATTCATTTGAGTATGTTAATATTGATTTTCTTGAATTGAAATTTTGAATGAAAAGATTATGTAATTGGAAACCTATCGTATAGTAAGCATGCTGAATAAATTTAAGGCTTCAAAAATCAAGTTATGGTCAGGTTATGATCATAACATGTCGAGTTATGTCATCTCTTGAATCTGAAAATTACAAGTGCAGGTCAAATTATTCAAATTGTCAAAAATAAATCACTATCAAGTTATGGTTTTTTTTTAGAGAAATAAATGACGATGAAGTTCAAAGTGAAATGCCACCAGCAGCATCAAGAAAACTGGACAAGATGAAAATTGATCTAATTAATCTGCTTAACAAAGTACAACATTTTGAAGCCAACCAAGCAGCCATGAAAGAGGATCTGAAAGAAATAAAGGCAATGGTTGTGAATTCTGTGGAAATTATGAGAACCATTCAAAAAGATGTGCTTCTGTTTCTCGAACAAATACAAAACAATCCACTCACAGACTTTGAGGTAATGAAACAAGCAAAATAATGTTGATTTTGTTTTTGCAATGTTTCCTTAATGATATACTAATTTGTACCTCAATGAATAGGAAAACAGAGAAAAAAAATTATCTGCAGAGCTAGGAGAACATGAGGGAGAATTTGGTTATACTCCACTCACAGACTCGTTTGATATCAGTCAACAAACATTGGACAGAACATTTGAAGAAGCTGAAAAGATAATAGCAATGAGAAAAGCTGTTGCTCAAGGAATCAAAAATGTATGAATCTTCTTAATACTACTTGGGAAAAAGGGGGAAAAAAAAACCCACATTAATACTAATAAAAAACTTATTATTGCAGGAACAAGATTATGAAGAAACATAAAATGAGGAAGAAGAAAAATCAATGAAGAGAAACAAAAGAAAAAGTGCAAAGGAACAGAGGGAAAAAATGGAAGAGCTTGGCATTCCTTCATTCATCCTCTTCACCCAAAGTTCTAACAACCCAGACTTGTAAAAATGGGATAATATTATAATACAACCTTTTGGATGATATGACTATTGTTTCTAAAGACTAGTTTTATATTTTAAATAATGACTTGAGATTTACACTAATTCTTACAATCTTTTGAATGTTAATATTCATTGACAAGACTTTTAGATTATGTTTGAGATTGTTCCTTGAATCAAAAAGAATGTAAACCCAAGATTTATCAATTACATGTTGTTGAATCTGAAAATTACAAGTGCAGCTGCACTATCAAGTTATGGTAAGGTAATGATGATCGAATTATGATCATAACCTTTTGACTTGTTCAGGTTATCTTAAAGTTATGCTAATCACATGTCAAGTTATGCTGCATAACTTGACAAGTTATGTAAAAACATGTCAAATTTGCATCATAACCCGTCAAATTATGATACATATCCGGACGAGTTATGAAAAAATTTATATAAGAACATGTCAAATTTGACAAGTTATGTTGCATAACTGAACAAATTATGTTGCATAACTAGGCAAGTTATGATGCATAATCAGACAAGTTATGATGCATAACTGGACAAGTTATGTAAAAACATGTCAAATTTGCACCATAAACCGTCAAATTATGATACATATTCAGACGAGTTATGAAAAAATTTTCAATAATGGACCATAAACAGTCAAACTTATGGTGTATAACTGTACAAGTTGTGGACAAAAACTCTGAATTAGGTCAATAACTTGTCATAACCAGACAAGTTATGGACGAGAATTACATGTAAAAATACGCAAAATAACTTGAAACTTGTTTACTAATTAAAATTAAAAACCAATATAATCTGTACGAAAACTAGAAATAAAACACGAATATGAAAACCAACAAGTTAATCCATATAATCATCCAAGTCACACTCAATGGCATCTGTTGGCGTCATAAAATTCATTTTTGGGGCATTTGGAGCCCTGTTATCATCACTTTCATATCCCAATTGCTGCTTCCACAAGGCATGCTTGAACAACTCAACTGCCATCTTCTTGCGGAACAATGTTCCAGCCCCTTCTTCTCTCAAACAATCATCAGATCCGGCTTCCATTAATATCTCAACCATCTTGAGCATAAAAATTCCACAATCACCACTACAAAAAACAACCACCAAAAATCAAACAATTAGAAACAACAAATATAAATGCAAAAATGAATGAAGTAAAGGGAAAATAACAAAACATTTAAAGAGAAAAAAAAACTAACCCGTTCTCTTGTCTTGGACAATCGTCAAATATGATCTCAAAAGGTTCAAGACGATCAAACTGACTTGTGAAATACTTTTTCGCATGAGAATCAAAGTAGCCAACAGATTCCAGCAAGTGGGGGAGAATGACTGCCAAAGATTGCACAGAAGCACGGACTTGCTTCTCTATCCTCTTTGAAAAAAGAGAATCATATAACCTAATACAATGATCTTTGAACTCTACATAACCTAAAATCCAATGCTGCCTACGCTCAAGAAAAATAGGTACAAGAAGAATGTCCACCTCACAAAAAGGCAAGCTACAAAATAAATAATCTCCCAACACATAATCTTGAAAAGCACTATGTGAAGAGAAATCAAAACGAGATCAATCAAAATCCTTTTGGTTTTTAGAGCACCATAAGCCACTAATTCTCATGAAAAAATGTGAGTCCAAAACCAAACACCTAATAAGGAAGAATCTTACCGACTCAGTTAGCCAACACTTTGATGTCCATAAAGTTTGAAACCAATGTTTTGAATCAACGGTGTCAACTTTAAAATCAAAAGGAGGCTTTATCATATATGCATCGCTGGCCGGTCCCCACGCTTTTCTTGAGATCATATTACGCTTATACCATGATAGGAATCTTGCATTGTCCTCCTCTGATGCATCACTATCAACAATTTTAGAGAATGGACAAAAACATAAAAATCGTTCATCTATACATTTAATAGGTTCTTGTGATGCTGCTGCCTCATCATACAAAATAATCCTTTGATCAGTACATTTATCGCCTTCCTGGGCAGCATTATGAACAAGATCCCTCAAAACTGAAGCAATTGTTTCTTCAATTTTTTCAGAAGAAACATCCACTTTGTCATCTTCTTTCTCTGCAACTGCTTCTTCAATTACTTTTTCCTTTATTTCTTCAACTTCTTCTTCTTCCTTTTTTTCTTCAAATGCTTGTTCTTCCTCCGTTTGCTTGTTCATCTTAGAAGAAAAAGCATTGTCAAACTTTTCACCAAGCAACTGAACCACAGAAAAAATTTGTTCTTTGAAATCTCTTCGAAGGGAAGAAACTTCAACAACCAAACTATCAGTTTTTGCCTCCAAGGAAGCAATGCGCGCTAAAACTTCAGAATTATCAAAAGCACCCTAAAAAATGCAAAAGATAACAAAACGAAAAAAGTCAAATCATAATGACAAGTTATGGTTCATAACCAGACAAGTTATGGACAATAACTGTGAATTATGGACAATAACTTGTCAAGTTATGGTTCATAACCAGACAAATTATGGACAATAACTATGAATTATGGACAAAAACTCTGAATTAGGACAATAACTTGTCAAGTTATGGTTCATGACCAGACAAGTTAATGGACCATAACCTGACAAGTTATGGAGAATAACATGTCAAAACAAACCTTATTTTCACATAACTTGATTTTCAAAAAACAACCTTACAGTTCCAATTGTAAATTGAAAAATGAACAAAAACAAAACTAAACAAACCTGATTTTTTGGAGGAGGAGGAGGGACATTTTCAAAATCTTTGTCATCCTCCTTCAAATCACAGCCACTAGAAGCCGGAACATCCTTTGCCGACTTCTGAAAAAAAATCGTCAAGATAATTATAGAGACGCTTTGATTCAATTGGTTCCATTGAAAAACAAGAGAACTGAAAATAAAAAATAAAAACATTAAAACATAAAATAAGCAAAGGATATTAATAAAAACATTAAAACATGAAAATTTACTATAAAAAACTACCAAGACAGAAGTCTAACCTGGCCATTTTTGTTGTTCAACACATCAAATGGCTTCTTCGAATAATTTTCGTCCGTTGACCATTTGAAAATTCGCGGAATAGGCTCATCAATAAACTTTTTCAATGCACAAATACCACCAAGGAGTGGTAGACATTCATAAGCCCAAACTTGAAAAACAAAGGCCAAATTGTTGATCTTATATCCATCTACACGTCTCTTCTCATTTCGAATTAGAACCTTATCATCGTGCTTGTACAAAATCTCAATACCAGATTTCAAACTTGCAAAAAGTAAATTAAAAGACAATCTACCCCAAGGAAAATCGTTAAAGTAAGGGCTATCAACAATTCTAATCAAATC